CACTGAATGGCTCGTAGATCTGCGGTTAACAGCCCAGTTTATAATCCACTACGCTACCAGGGATCCTTCTCATATACTCCATATGCCCCGAGAATTAATTCATGAGCCCCAGTTGCAAAAATACTGTTGTACACAAATTAAACTAACTGTCCATCCCAGAATAGTTCTGTGCTTACTTGTTTCTAAGTCTTCACTCCTGTTATTCCCCCATCCTGGGATATCTTTGCCCTATGGCACTACGGAATAAAGCACTGGACTGCATGGTCGGTTTGAACCACAGGCTGGCAGTTCAAACTCACCAGCCACTCCTTGGAAACCCTATACAGGGTTGCTATGAATTGGAACCAACTCGACGGCACTTAACAACAAATATACTTGAAGTCCTGATGTGGTGCTATAGGATAAGCACTGGACTGCTAACAGCAAGGTCAGTGGTTCAAACATACCAGTTACTCACCAGAAACCCTATACAGGATAGCTATGAGCCAGAATCAACTCAACAGCACTTAATACAACAACTATACTTATCAAATTCTACTCATCAATGCTTAGTTTATTTATCACTTCCTTCAAGAAAGAATTCTTGTTGGTAACCTCAGTCAAAACTTCTCTGTCTCAGGACAATTTTATACCTCTCCCATGGCATTAACTAAAGAGTTCTGGCGGCACATCAGTTAAGCACTTGGCTACTAACTATAAAGTCATGGCTGGAACCCACCAGCCACTCTGTGGGAGAAACATAGGGCAGTCTGCTTCCATATGTTCCAAAGATTATAGGCTTTGAAACCATATGGAGCAGATCTAGCCTGTACTCTGTACCGAGTCGCTATGAGTCAGAACTGATTCCACAGCACATAACCACTACCACCACCATGAATCAGAATCGACTTGAACAATAGGAGGTTTTGGTTTTGATTTATGGCATTAATAATAGTATTCTTCTTTATGTTATATTCTTTTACCATAGCCAGAATGGAGTCCTGGTGTGATGCTGTAGCATAAGCAATGGACTGCTAACCTCAAGGTCTGTGGCTTACACACACCAGCCACTCCTTGCCAATCCTATACAAGAGTTGCTGAGTTGGAACAGACTCGATGGCATTTAACAGCAATAAAGAATGCTCCTTAGAAGTGAGGATGGTAAGACTTCATTTCATGTACTTTTGGAAATGTTATTAGGAGAGACCAGCCCCAGGAGAAGGACATGATGTTTGGTAAATGTCAGTGAAATGGAGGGAAACCCTCAGCAAGATGGATAGACAGACACAGTAGCTGCAACAATGGGTTCAAACATAGCAACAATTGTGAGGATGGCGCAGAACCAGGTAATGTTTCATTTAGTCTGTTGTACACAGAATCACTATGAATTGTAACCAACTCAATGACACCTAACAACAATGTTAGAGCTCCTTGATAGCATGCAGATTAATCTATCCCCTTTTTACTTCTACAACAGCTACTTCAGTATTTTGTATCTGACATCCAGTAACTGTCCCCTGAATTAACCCTTCATGTGGGGGAAGTGAAGGGCTTCTCTAAATATCACGCTTTACTCATCTTCTTCAAAATGGAACTGTTTTAAGCAAACACATATAATATATTCCCAATGAAAGACAAAAACATGGTAAACATTTGTAAAGTTACTTGTAGGGTTTACCTTCTTTTAAGCATTGAGTCTGATATAGGTATGCATCTTACACCAGTCCCCAGAACCATGAGGAAGGATGTCAGGAGCACAGTGATCCGAAGGCCTGAAAGAAAACAAAAGTAGTCAGATGATTTTTCATTTTCTAAGTGAGTCTAATGTTAAGAATAAAGATTTGTCAACAATATTGATACTATATTCTAATATTATGGATTTCTTTATAATTCCCAACATTGGGCGGACCCTACATGCTGAAAACAAAATCCTTCTAAGTTTAATAGAAAATTTCAACAATTACCTCAAAGGAGAGGGAAAAGTTCTCTTGGGTCACACTTTTCTGAATGAAAGGGTTGAATCTTTTGTTTTTTAAGTTTAGTTCTACATCTCCAATATAAAATTTCAAATTTTCAAATGTAAATTGTTAGTAAAAATTATCACTAAAAAGCATTTGAGTGACAGATTATTGCTTTAAATGTTCTCAAAAAATGATAACTAACATATTTTATGCTATAAACAGAACAAGCTAGTACTTGTCATAAGTAAAGGAAGTGGCCTTTTGAAAGCCCTCTGATTATAAATATAGTTATGGTCCTTTCATTTTCTTGATTTATCTGGTGGTTTTTAAAATACAGAATTATGTTGTTCAAAAAGTTAAAAAAAAAAAAAAAGGCATGGCTTATAAGTTTAGAAAACAAGGCAGATGAGATAGAATTTTCCTTTGTATCTTACATATAGTAATTATTTTGAAAATATGTGCCAAGGGTTGTCATATAATAATAATAATAATAAGGCAAAAGAAATTATTGGAATAAAACCAAAGCACATCTCAACATAGTAGTCTCTTCCTCCATGAAAAAGATGTCATCATTTATGGCTTTCAAAATTTCTTTCTAGCCTAAGACAAGTTTATTCACAAAGCAAGTATTTCTGACTCTTGAAAAGTACATGTAGACTATATGGCCCACTGTAATTATGAAGTTGTATCACACCTAGAGGTTCCTCATTTTCCACTTCCAATTTTCCCATTACAATTAGGTATACCACCATACTTTTAGTTCTCTTAGGATAGAAATATGATGTCATTTCTTTACTCCTTTGTCTCTTTTAATAAAATGCTAAACTCTGCTTTTCAATCAGTGCTTTACATTTGATGCTATTTACTACAGTTCACTAAAGCACTGATGGTTATTTTCTTGCCTATCTGGAACATACTTACTGTTCCCCATTCTTAGCTCAGCTGCACTGAGTGAAGATCTAGTCTCTGATGTGGGGGTTTATCCCCATCCTGTTTACCTCACCTGCCTTTGTCTCACTGAAATGTCCGCATGAGAGTCTACACATCCATGTGCTTATTTCAATCATCCCACATCTGGGACAGCTCCCTGTGGTACCATGAGTGCACTTGATACGGCTTTTCTATTCAAAGTCATCTTAACTCCCACCAAATGATTGGGAGAGAACATGCAAATAGAGTGTTATTGCTATTCTTGTTAAGTGCCATCCAAGTCAGTTCCGACTCATAGC